TCTCCAGACTGACATTGTTGCTCCTTGGTACCTTGGAGAGGTCTCTGACAACAGACTTCCTTAATGCAATTTGTCTTTTAATTTCCTTTTAATTTCTTGCTGGTACCAAGAGTATTCGTTTGGCAAACAAAATGGCCTTTCTGAAATATAAAACTAATCATGCCCGCCCCTGCCTAAAATTGCTATTTCCTTGAAGAAAAAAAAAATTCTTCCCTGGATCTCGAAGTTCCTTTGTGACCTGGCTGCAGGTCTTACCCCCCTCACCACTCCCACTGTGGCCCTGGCACTCAATGTCTGTGGGTTCTACTCTCATATTCCCAGAAATGCTAAATTTACTCTAGTACATGGCCTTTAGCCTGTCATTTCCCCCTTTATGTCTGTCTTGACTCACTTTCCCTTCATCTAGCAAACCTTATTCACTTCAAGTCCCATTCAGTTATTCACCTACATTTTGTCTTATTACATTCGTTACAAATGATCAATGCCATTTACTATATCATCTCATCTAATCCTCACTCTTCTTTCTTCTCCCTTCACTTCACCCATCTGTCTGCTGATCTCTGTTTCTATCTCTATCCCCTCCCATCCTTGCCAATCCTCCGTGTAAACCTTTCCTTCGCTTTTTTTCAGTCAGTCACGCATATCCTGTTCCACACTGCTAGCTGCAATACATCCAATGTCTCCCTGTCCATTCCCTGATTCCACTTTGTCCATGAAGGTGTCATTATCAACCTATTCTTCTGCTCTCCTCCTTTGCCCTCACTGACCCCGACTGTATTTTGTATTACATTATATTTTAGTCTTATTCTGTCCCCCCTTTTGTGAGTGAGTTACTTCATTTCACACAATGTCTTCTAAACTCATCCATTCAGTTTTACTCATCTGCAAAATAAGGTTCATAACGTCTTTGCAGAAATATATTAGAGATAAAAAAAGACAATTTAATGATAAACTTAACACAATGGACACATAATCAGTGGCCAGAAGCGTGCAAATGACTATTAGTAGGTTTTAGAAAAGTGTAAGGAAGGTGAAAGGCATTGCTGAACATGGCTTGAACTGTGAGGAACTTGTGAGTTGGCATAGACTGTTCTTTCTGAGCAGTCCTTACAGACTGTTAATGGGAGCAGATGTTAAACAAATGGTTGGAAGTTTGTTTGAGTTAATTCAAAGGAAGGAAAACCTGACAATTTATTTCAATTGTTGTTGAGTTGTTGTTAAGTGCCGTTGAGTCTTAGACTCATGGCGACTCTATAAACGAATGACCTGGACACCTGTATAACTGTCATCCTTTCTCCAGGTTCATAGGGTTTCCAGAGACAAGCTATTTCAGAAGTGGATGCCACTCCTGCTTCCAAGCTTGTTTTAATCGGGGAGCTCCACGAAATACCATCCACCATGGGTAACTATCATCGCATTTGACTCATCAGTGTCACAGTGTTCAGCTTCACAGCAACCACGAGTTACCTCTGTACAGCAAGTGGACAAACCAGGGCTATACGACCTGGAAGAATGTTTGGCCAAAAAGAATTAAAAACAGCAGCCCCAGGGCCCTACAGTATTTTACAATTCTGGTACACCCAAATGCTGGTGGACTCTGGGCCAGAGACCCCCGATTCATCTGGCAAATCCCCTCTGCTGACACTCACGTGGAACGAAAAGAAAGCCATAAGATCTGGGAGCGTTTCAAACGTGTGTGTCCCTCCTCGAAACTGTGGTTGTCTGGCACATATGGAATCACCATATGCTGGAATTAACTTGCCAGCAGCTGTGGTAAAGTCATGTTTAGTGAGTCTGCTGCATAATCTTCCTGCTGTATCCAAGGGACCATTTCCTTGGGCCAAGGTTTCAGTCTGATTGAAACCCTTGGAAAGGATGTGATTTCAGATTTGAGAGGTGGCCTCCAAAATCTCTAGGATTTCTAGAACTAAAGTGAAAGCAAACTTCAAGGAAAACAAGGAAAAAAGGTGAGGCCAACTCTGAGCTGGATTTCTTTTTCTTTCTAAATAATTTATAATACCCTAATATTGTTACAGTAAAAGAAAAAGCAGAAATGCAGATAAAAGTAGTTACTTATATTTAATAAGTGGGAGCTTTATCTCCTTTCTCTTTCTCATGAGCACTGAAGGGCTCCTGGGTGAATATCCTAAGAAGGAGAAATGGTGAAGGTCATGGGTACTTTTCCTAAGGGTTTAAGCCCCTGATGGGGGACTAGACCCGAGGCCCGCTGGACCTGAGGTAGGGCTTGCAGACACACCATCGTTCCCGCTGTTCTCACCACAGCATCTCAGGCCAAGTGCTCTGTTTTCAGTAGTATCAGTTATTTTGATGTTGTTGTTGTTGTTGTTGATTGCCTTTGAGTCGAGCACGACTCATAGAGACCCTATGAACAAAAGGCCTGAAGCCCCTCTACAACTGTCGACATTTATCAAAGTTCATAGTGTCTAGAGGCATGTTGTTTAGGAAGTGGATGCCACTCCTGCTTCCAAGCCTGTCATAGAATGTTATTGGTTGAGTCGCCTGCAATGCAAAGAGACCCTATGTACAGCAGCTCTGAACCCTTCCCTGTCCAGAGCCAGTCTCATTAATTCAGACACATCAACCCCCATTGCCCCAGATATAGTAAAAATCCATCTCATCCAGGGTCTCCCTCTCCTGTACTGTCCGTCCACCCTTCCAAGCATGATGTCCTTCTCTCCTGAACACGTGCCCAAAGTGAGACGGAGCTTCAAAATCCTAGCCTCCAAGGAGAGACTTGGTTTCACCCTCTCCAAGACAGACCTGTTTGTTTTCTTGGCAGTCCACAATATATTCAAGACTATATTTATCTGTTGAATTCTTTGCACTTGCATATAGTTAAACAAACAATGTAAGCAGCAGATTCTCCTGAAGGTCCCTGAAGAGTTGAGAGACTGACCCTCTTTCTGCACTTGTCTGAGAAATAGGCACAGTGGCTGGCTGTTTGTTTTTCTTTTCTTTTCTTTTTCTGTCTGCAAGGAAGCAGGCGTTTGGATGCTGATGCGTAGAGATTTAAGTCAGAGATGAGGCAAAGGACAAAGAGTAGAGAAGCAGGGGAAACTTGGCCTACTCTTGGGGCTTGGCCTAAGCCGCTTGAAGAAAAGGGGCTTCGTAGAAAAGGTAACAGAGCCCGTTAGGCCAGGGTTGTTGTGAGAGCTGTACAGTCGTGCTGTCTGAGGGTTTGCTGCTCAGGGGTGATGTGAGAGGTTTGCCTCACTTCTGTTCAGGGCATTACACAGTGCACCCCACGGACCGTGCACAGCCTCATCCTCCCAACGGCCACCACCTGCAGATGCGTGTGGGAACTTTATCAAAGAGACAAGAGCAGGGCTTGCTCCCGACCACATTTGAGAAACACTTAGAAGTAATGTGGAGGTGTTATCTTGCAAGCGAGAGAGCGTGAGTCAGCAATGTTTATGCAATTTCCATGTACTCACAAGTAGGATGGGGACATAGGAGTTGGAAAGTATCAACTACATGTAAAAAAAGTATAAAATACAACATCATTCCCTCCAAGAGCTAGTATTAGAAATTGGACTTTTGTGATTCTGAATTCTTGACTCTTTAAGAATAATCATTATTCAAGCAAATTCAATCCCCCAGGAGCCAGCAAACACGTGTTCACTACACAGAGTTGCTGGATTCTGGCAGTTATTAGAAAATAGGAACTTCACTGGATGTGAGGTTCATGTCTAATTTGATAGGTGACACAGATGAACTATAAAAAAGAACTTATCTAGGGTCAATGGCTAATAACAAAATAATTTTATATCTATTTTAAAATAGCAACTATGAGCATTTAGGCTAAATGATAAAAAAAATGGATGATGTGACGAATACATCTTTTCCTTGAATTTCCTCTGAAGAAATTATAATGCTATTTATTTATGTTTATAAATGAATTAATGTAAGTCATTAGGACTTAGAATATGCCAGAGGGTCTTTTATGATTATGATGATCCTTTTAAAAATTATATTACTACTATTACCCCCATCTTACAGATAGAAAGACTGAGTCGCAGAAAGGTGACCTCATTTGCCTTAAGTCAAAAGGAGAAAATCCAGGATGTGAACTTGTATTTTCTGGCTCAGAATCCACAGTTTTAACTACTAGTCTAAGTAGATCTTTCCATCAATTTCATGATCAGAACAACAACAGATTTTAAAAGCACTGGGGAGAGAAAAAAAAAAACAAACAACAGCATTGCCCTGAAGAAAATCGTGACCACAAACTAAGGTCTGAAAAACACCAGCTCCAACATCAGTCAATTACGATGCAATTAAATCATAATGTTCTGTCTTCGTCTTATTCTCCTTTATCATGAGAACCAAAGATAATGACAACAGGCTTAGCAGGCACTCTGTTGCTTGGTGTTGTGTTATTAAATCACTTTAAAATAGAAACTGTGTAAAAAGCACCACCATTGACATAAATTGAAAAAAATTTACCAATCTGCGATTTTTGTCAACAAATTTTCCCACACCAGTGAGGTTAGCTTCCTTCCTAACAATCCTAATAATTCAGTAGAATTTAAAACACTATATTTATCTACAATCCTGAGTTATAGACAGATGTGAATTTTCATATATTGTCCCAGCAGAAATGCAGGATTTTAAAAACTATCCAACCTCCTACTTTTCAGATCTCTTGCCTTCTCCTTTTTCCCTCTTTACGATTATTTTTCTTCTTGCCTTCTTTTTTGGAATTAATTGTATATTTCTGCTCAATATTGGAAGCAGGAGTGGCATCCACTTTCTAAACAACTTGCCTCCGGAAACTCTATGAACTTTGATAAATGTCGATAGTTGTAGAGGGGCTTCAGGCCTTTTGTTCATAGGGTCTCTGAGTTGTGCTTGACTCAAAGGCGATCACCAACATGTAACAAGGGTCCAGAATGAAGGTTGCATAGTGGAGTATATTTGGGGTGAGGGTGGGGGGGGATTCTATACCAATGAAATATTTTTATTTTTTTTTTACTTTACAAAGAGAAGAGCAAACTGGGGGGGGGGCAGTGGTGGGCAGGGAGAAAAATGCAACAATGAATGAATGAATGGAAATCCAGAATCTCTGTAAATGTTCATTAAAATTAATTAAAACAAGCAAACAAAAACTAAGTATATAAAAGTAAAACAACAACATGATGAATAACCCAAAACTTCTGCTTGAGAATTGTTTGCATATTAGATGAGTCTTTCACCAAAGCTAGTAGAAAACTTAAGAGTGTTGGTGAAAGAGTCTGCTTCCCAGGAGAGATTGGGAAGTCAGATGCTGGCTGTCCCAGGCTCCCCTGCACCAGGACACAAGCAGATGACACAGACTCCACCAATCAGAAGCCCTGAGCCTGGGGCAGCCCTCTGACTCTCTAAAGAGAAGGTTATTGGGGGCCTTCACTTCTAGGAGTTGAAAGTGAGTTTGACAGAACTTGCTATTGAGTAAATAGATTTCAAGAGAGCCACAGTTTAATGCAAACACTTAAATACTTTTAAAATCACCTGAGCGTAGCCCGCGCAGCCCGGAAGACCACTAATGAAAGTGTGCACATCTTCCACAGTCCATTTATTAATATCTTCATCGAGAGACAGATGCTTCTCAGACGAAGCCAGTTCACATGCTGCTTTAAGGCAAGAAAAGGACTTTCTGCTATGAAATTGTCAACGGACGCTAAAAGCACAGTTTTATGTACAAGCTTTTTCATTTTCTTATACTTTCCAGAGTGTTACCTTATAGATCTGCACGTAAATTTCCTAACTGATTTTAAGAGTCATTAGGAAATTATAAAAAATTCAATAGTTACTTGTTATCTAGGAAAGAATTGTTAGTGAATCGTTATTGTCACTGAATAGATCGACTCGACTGTACCTTCTCTCCGATTATAACAGGAATGCCCTGTGGATTTCATTCTTCAGATTAAGGCTCCCGTGTTCCATGGGATTACCTGATTTATCACGCAATTAGGTGAAGCAAGAATTTAGTCTCCAACAAAATAGTGTCGATTTAATGTATTATAGGGAGGCAGTTAGGATAATGGCTGCATTACAAAATTGACTGTGTTTTAAAATAATTTTATATAAAGGTCCGTAAAACTATTCAGTGCATGTGTGTTAGGATTTTTAAGTGAGAAGATACCATAACAGTGATGCATTCTCAAAGTTAATACTTTTGTTCAGTTGCCTAATTTCCACCCCCAATACTGAGAAACAGCAACGACAGCCCAAAAGCTCCCCAAGACCTCACTGTGGGGCTGAGTCAGTTCAGATTCAGGGCAAACTGTGGACCTGAGAACTGCCCCCCATGGTTTCCAGGACAGGTAATCCTTTACAGTAGACGTTTCTCCTGTGGAGCAGCTGGGGGGTTCAAACCACTGAACTTGAGGTTAGCAGGCAAGCTCTTTAAAAGATACTTCAGTAAAGTGACATTATTATAGGATAGAAAGAGTCATGGTTGTTAGAATTCACTACTTCAGGACTTGGCGTTAATAAGGACCTGCTTTTGGCCCCAGACACCCACCTGGCAGAATGGATGGAGAACTTGGCTTTTGTTCACTGCTGGCTGTAAAAGTCTGCTCTACACCCTTCTCCTTCCCACTGTCCCAGGCCTTGGGGTCCAGGGAGCTGCTGGGAGCTGCCCAGGGTGTCGGGTGGAGGGACCCCAGCTCTCCACAGCTCTGGGCAGGAGCTGGGGCTGGCTTTTCATTGGTTTCACTTGGCTTCCGATTCAAGACTGTTTCAGTCTCAGCGTCTTTGGCAAACTCGCCCTCTTCATGGGGATTTGTTTGAGTCTGGCCTAAGGTCTTAAATTCTGCTTGGCTTTTGGAACTACAAGTATCGCTGTGTAGAACTTTCTGACTCCCTGTCCCTCTCCTGAGACGGCGGTATTTCTGCTCCCAGCTGTCTAGAAAGTGTGAGCCAGTGGCCACTAACATGGGGTTTCCTTGGAGGTTTCTCAGGGAGCTCCTGTGGAAATGCAGGTCGTGGGCAGGGGGCACGCTTCTGCCTGGGAAGGTGTCTGTGCCTGCTGGGATACAGGAGCCGTAGACGAATGGTATCCCTACACCTGCTAGGCCCTGACGGTTAAACTTTTCCATTCTCCTTTGCTGATAGACGGCATACATTTCCATTTCTGTCCTACAACCAAAATAACAAAATAATATATTCATTCAAAACCAGGAAAACCATTAGAAAGGCCACTTTACAGGCCTCTGTCTTTCCTAAGACAGCACTTCTGCTTTTCTTGGCAGGCCCCTAGTGCTTAGCTGGAGTTTGTTAGAAACTGAACCCTTGTCACCTCTCTCTCCACACCTCACCTGCACCCCGCC